TGGTGTGTGTGTGTGTGTGTGTGTGTGTGTGTGATGGCTGATTTAAGAGAACAGTGTGCGGCTGTGAAATTTTGTTTCTTGTTGGGGAAAGATGTCACAGAAACTGCTTTGATGGTGAATACAGCTTACAAGGGCAGTGCTGTGGGAGAAACTCAAGTGTATGAGCGGTTTTCTCATTTCATAAGAAAGGTGAAATGTCAGTTGAAGACAGTCCTCATTCTGTATGTCCGTTAACTTCCTGAATGGATGAAAATGTTGATTCATAGTGCATTTGGAGTTCATTTGTTCCCCTAGGTCAGACTGTTAATCAAGCTTTCTATATAAAGGTTCTGGAAAGATTGTGTAACAGTGTGTGATAAAAAAGGCCTGATTTGTGGTAGACGTGGAACTGGTTTTACCACCACGACAATGCACCTGCTCACACACCTATCTTAGCGCACCCGTTTTGGCAAAAAACAGCATGCTTCTCTTGCCCCAGGCACCTTACTCAACTGACTTCACTCCAAGAATGAAGAGGGACGTGGAAGGACAGCGATTAGAAGAAATGAAGGAAAAAAGAGGAGTTGCTGTCAGCCTTCCAAACAGACGAGTTTGAAAAATGTTTCCAAGATTTGGAATGGCAGATTTGACAAATATGTTAAGTGTTATGGAGAGTGCTTTGAAGGTGATAAGGTTGTTTTGTAAAAAAATGTAAATACATAGCTTTTTTTTGAGGGGGAGTTATGGGGTTTTCTGGGTACCCTCTCATGATATATGTATTGCCTCCAAATTAATAGTAAATTAAAATAGATATTAAAAAATAGTAAAATGCTGCCAGTAAAACTAAAAAATTATAATAATAAACTAAAACCTGAAAAAAAAATCAACAAGTGTTGGGTAGGATGTAAAGAAATAACCTTATACATTACTCATGGCAGTAGACCAGTACACTGTTGTGGAAACAGTTTGGCTGTTCCTCCAGAAGTGAGACATGGAATTATATGAATATGACCCAGCAGTTCTAGTCCTAAGGCTACCCCCCACACACAAATTAAAGCAAGTGTGTGAACAAATATTTGAGCATGAATGTTCATAACACTGATCACCATGATAACAGAGGTTCATTGAAAGATGAATGGATAGAAAAAATGTGGGCCATCCATTCAATGGAATATTATTTAGCCACAATGAGGGCTGGAGTACTTATACTTGTTATCATGTTGTTGGACCTTGAAACCATTATGCTAAGTGAAAGAAGCCAGATACCAAAGGTCACATGCTGTATGATTCTGCGTACATGAACCACGTAAAATAGAAAAGCCCACAGTGGTGGCAAGCAGTCAGGGGCTAGGGAACAAGAGGATAGGTACGACCTTTGAGGCTGACGAAAATATTTTGGCTGTAAATTAAAGATGACAGTTCTACATCACTGTAAATGTGCTAAACACCACTGACCTGCACACGTTAAAATGGCTAATTTTACCTTATGTGTGTTGGACCTCAAGGGAAAAATTCAAGAGTTTCTGTGATCTCACAAATAACAGTGACGTTGGTGTCATAGTTACCTTGTGACTGTTGGAACCTACGTGCTTTGTAGCATTAGTACTTCGGAAAAGTTCTTTCCAGCGTGGGAAGGAAAACTCGAAGATGGATGATCCCAAGTGGGTTTTCTTCTGAAAATCACAGTTGCAAGAATATAGGTTTCTTTTTAATGTTTTATCTGTTGAAGCTAGTGAAACTTATACCTTGAATGGGCCCTGGGTTGGAATCTAAGTTGGTTGGTTTCTGCATGTAATTTGTATAAGTCTGCTTATGATAACTTGATATTACTTTTGATGTCATTGAACTATGGGATGATATAGTATCTGAATTACCTTCCAATACAATGGTTTGGAGAGAAAAAATTACTGTTTCTCAAAGCCAAGACTATTTAACTTTTGACTTTATGAAAATTATGAGTAATTTGTAAGAAATCTAAGAAATATTTATAGGATTCCAACTTTTTTTTCCCTGAAGGTTCTCTTATAAGTACCCTGCTAGAGGTTTTGGTGACACTTCCCAAGATCATTATTGTGAATACTTTTATTGGCTGTGAAATTAGTGCCACGAGTAAGAAAATTTTATTTTCAGTTCCATTGAGCAGACCTTGTCCCAACGCTCAGAAACTGTAGTTTCTTGTTTTTATCACATGCCTGTTTAATGGTCTTTTTTGAAAGAGGAACTTAGGCTCTCATTTGACAAACGACCTGAGATTGAGCTTCCCACTTGGAGAGGAAGAAGCGCTCTCTTCGGCAGCACATTCCCTAAAATCGAAAGGAAGACGTGATTTGCTGATGGTGAAGCTTTTCCTTATGAGTGGGCTTGATGCCTCTACCCAGGGTCAGCTCTGTATCCCCTGTGCGATCGGTTCTCCGGTGGATGAATTTATGCTCGTCGTCATGTCCCTCCCACCCACTTCACCTTATGACCCAAAATACACTATCCAGGCAGCCGGCGGGCGGGAGCAACAGAGCTAACCAGTCTCGGACAGATTGAACCCAGAGCTGTTGACATCATTGGCGTCATGTCCCCGACAACGGAACTAGGGAGGGAGAATGCATATCTTGCTTGAGTTAGGCTATGCAGTTTTAAAGTTAGAAGGATCTGGTAAGCATACCAAAGTACCGGGAATAAACGTAATAAGCCGAAGCATTGGGTGAATGTGAGTGCTCAGCTTAAGATGATTATTGTGTCTGACTTCCATACAATTAAAAGGGTTTCCTTTTTGTTATGTCCACCTTTAAAGCGTTTTTTTTAAAGGTCAGGATTTTTTTTAATGTGGATAATTAGAAGACACATTTTTCAACAAATTATTAATTGGGAAAATTTCACCCCAAGACAGAACTGAAGATACTGAACGATCACAACACCAGGGTGACAGACAGTAGGAGAAAGCGAAATAGGTGGATGGCATTGCTGCTTACTGCAAAATTATGTTTGTCCAGGGACCACTGCCTAGGAAGAGCAGCTTAATACACAGTGCATTTCCTTGGACAATTTACTCCATCTTTTTTCTATGCTTCAATGTCCTTATCTTGGCAATTTAAATGAAAAGATCTACCTTATAGGGTTGCTGTAAAGATTGAACTAGCTAATATGGTTAAAGCTATAGTATACCAAAACATCAAACCCACTGCCACGGAGTCAATTCTGACTCATAGTGACCCTGTAAGACAAAGGAACTGCCCCTATGGGTTTACAAGACAACGACGGGAGCAGACAGCCTCAGCTTTCTCCTGTGAAGTTCAGTACAAAAGCACACACCACCCGGACTCCTCAAACAAGATCCATGTGGATGTGCAAGACATAAACGTGCTGGTGTTAAGATAATGAGCTATGAGTGCGGAGTGGAGACCCAAAGCCCATTTGTAGG